CTAAGCTCAGGCCTGTGGTATGGCCAAGTCTCACTATCTGTGCTGATCTGGAGCAACAGTGGTTTGAACTAGTGTGTGATAGAAAGTGTGTTTCAAGATCTCGGCTCCTCTAAGCAGCAGAACTGAGCCCCGGGGTTATGTGCCAGACAGGCCCAGCTGCAGAGATGACCTGTGATCACCTGTCATCCCCGTACTGACACAGGGATGCGAGAGCTCTGCTAAATTAGTCAAAAGAGGATTGCTCTGTGTGTGCAACTGAGACTCGATTCCCAGGCTTTCCCAGTAGATGCAAAGACTGTCTTGCTGGGGGTCCATGTGAGAGTTTGGGAGAGGTAGGGCCAGTGTAGGATCATGGGAAGAACCAGCCTGGGGACCAAGAGTCCTCGCTGAGACCTAACACTAGTTTGGGTGTATAATTTAGCAAAATGGGCATCCTCTTGGCTTGCCCTTTTCCTCAGAATCTGATGGAATACCAGTACGTGGCTCTCCGTGATGGGAGTACATGCTGTGGGAAGGAAGTTATGATTTTGCAGCTTCTGCTGAGCCTCCATTTTACATAGTGCTCTTTGTTTTTCAGGAAACTAACAGTCTTTCTGATGGTGGTGTTAAAACTATAACCAGGAATCAAGGTAGAAGGGGCCGGGGATGGAGCTCAGCTGTAGAGGGCTTTCCTAGCACGTGTGAGGCCCTGGGTTTGGTTCCCAGTGCTGGAAAGAAGAAGAAAAAAATCAAGGTGGCGCTGAAACAGATAGGTATCTTAGATTCTTTACTGGGAAAGTCGTGAATTACTTTAGGTAATCCGTTTAAAGTTTCCTTTGGCTTTCAGAGTGACAATGTCTAACCTGGTTTATACGGCCTGGCACTGCCCCTGGGGGGGACTCGTGGGGGGACTTGTTATCGCTGACTTCTCAATGAGAGTACCAATCGCTGTGGATGACTAACAGACTGTCATGCCCATGAGTCTAACCTTTTATGTCTGACTAGTCACAATGGACACAAAGGCCACACCGTGACATTTTCCCTGGAGAAAAGCAACGACAAAAATAAGGGGTGTGCCCGAGCATGCGGAGGCGGAGGACGCCTGTAGATGAGCAGGTTTATTCCATAAGAATTGAATCTCCAGCTCTTTTTTTTCCCTAATGGAGCTAGTCTAAAATCGTCCCTTCCAATCCAGTGTGGGCCAGTCTTGCGAAAGAGTTAACCAGAACTTGTCATTAGGGAGATGACAGTGTGCAGGGCCAGCCTCGGCTGAGTGAAGCCTGCCCGTGGTGGGATCAGTCTGGGGACTGCACACCCGGCACCCACATCCTGAAGATGGACAGCCAGGCCCCGTCCCGACTGGAGACTTTCCTGTCTTTTCTGCACTGCTACAGCGTAGGTACAGGGCCATGGCCGGGCGTCGGTGTGGGTGTGTGCATGCTGTGGTGCTGTGCAGGCCGGCAGAGGGCTGGTGTGTCTGCGGGAGCTAGTTTAGGGGGAGAGGGCAGAGAAAGCCTTTCACATGCACCCAGATAGGAGAAACTTAGYTCTAAAAGTAAGCAAGAGAGAGGAAGAGAATGAATGTGTGTACTTGATGTCAAAATGTCATAATTTTATGCTGTTGCTTTAGAAATGTTTAGAAAGAGATTTTATAGATTTATTTTTTTGGTGACTTAATCATTGAGTAGAGTAAATATCTATAAAATTCCAATTAAATGGTGTCTAAATTTTAAARCAGCAGACTACAGGCAAGGCGCCAACATTTCTTTTTTTAAAAAAAAATATTTATGATAACATCTAGCATTTTAAAATCAACCAGAAACTAGGCTTGATTATGTTTAATATTTTATAAGATTGGACATCTTAAAACAAGTCAATAATGTTTATATTTTATAGCAATTCTGTGTTTATTCGAAACCATAATTCTACTGTGATGTGAATGAAATGACTTTCTATGGCTTTATGTTGGTTTAAGTGCTAATGACCACATTTCAAATTAAAACAGTATTTTGCAGAGGTAGACACAGACATGAAATATGACAGGATAGATAATTTTATTGATTGTAAAGTGTTTATTTCAAGAAAAAAAATGTTCTTTTTAGGGTTGTGAAAGAAAAACTTTTTCAAGGGTTTAAGATAGTTGTCTGTACTTTTTAAAACTGGAATTTGTGCCTATGGAATTTTTGGAGCAGCCGAAGCTACCTTTTAGCTTGATATGTGTGCTAGAAAATTTTCATTATCATGTTTTGTGATATGTAATAAATTCAGGGTGCTGTGCTTAAGCTTCATTTCAATTCTAGTTTTGGGGACTTCTGTCCCCCCTCCCCCACCCCCCACCGCCCCAGGTCCCATGTGAAAGAACAAAGTCAGTCCTGACTCTGACCAGGTATGTTTTGTCCTATGTGGAACAAGCAAACTAGAATAGTGATTTCTAAACTGCTGCTTTCATGTCTGGGAAGAATGATGCTTTCCTCTTTTAATGTCTTTTTAATAAATATGTTATCATTATTTGTCTTTGGGAGGTGGTCACCTCTCTACCTTCTCCATGATTTATGTTGCGAACAAATTCTCTGTCCTGTGTCTGTTTGCTGCACTATCTTGTCAACTAAATCCTAATCTTGTGTATCACTGAAGACGTGCTGGAGACGGTTTTTGCTTTTATTATGCAATTATGTTATATGTGTATTTCAGTGAAATGTCAACCCGTCAACAGAGGATGATGTTAAAAATTATCTGAATAAATAGTTTTCTATTTCTTTTAATCAGACCTAGTCCACTCAGTTGAATGACAAGTAGGACTGTCTGTTTTTCATACTCGGAGCTTCCCCGGCTATAACATGGGCTGACAGGCACTTACTGGGGGTGCCGGCTTAGTCATTGTAACCCTGTTTGTTTTATGGAGACAGGAGCAGGTGGCTCCAGCCCTGGCTCCTTGTTTGTGCATCAGCTGTATAACAGACCTTTTTCTCCCCAGTTGATCCAAAATCAGACAGAGACCCTTGCTTAGCCGTGATAATTGTACCCTAGAGAACTCTGGGTACAAGTGAGTGGCTTGCAGGCTGCTCGGGGCTGCTGGACGCCTCCTGTCTTCCATGCCTGCAGCTGTGCTGAGTATGAGCTTCTGCCAACACAACGTTAGCGTTGCCCTTGCCATGTTGCCCTAGCGAGGCAGGCGGGCCTGCTGAGAACCAGACGACTCCCCAGGCTCAGATGAGCTGGCCTTGGGGATCCTGGGAGACAGAAAGCATGAGTGTGCGTGTGTGCATGTGTGCTCTTGTGCTTGTGACCAGAGGGATGGGAGAGCAAGAAGCAGCTTCGCCGACCACACCAAGAACTGTTCTGGGTTTGACCTGGCACACGTCTGTCTTCCCCCTGCACGACCACAGCACTCACAGCCAGGGACCTTAAAGCTTTCRCTCTGGCACCTCCTTTATCCCCACAATTCATGAAAAGGGAAAGACCTTCTGCCCTCCATCTGAGGAGAGTTCAGACCCAACCCAGCCTGCTGTGTCCTTTTTAACAGAATCATCTCACAGGCTGGGTGAGCTTATGGGCAAGGTTGTTTATAAGGGGCTTCTTGGGACTTTCCTGTGCAACTTTACATTCTAAATGGATGTCACCACCACTGGCAAAAGACCAGTTTTGAGCATTTCTACCCCAAGGGGGCCAGTCCTGCCAGGCCTAGCATGRCTGCTTCCCTCCCCAGAACCACTGCCAGGTGTACCCCCTGCCACCACTTGCATGTATCGGATGTGGTCATAGTTTTCTATGACCTTGCCACAGCCACCTACCCCTCACTTGGTATTGAGGAGGAAGGACAGGAAAGCAGCCCCTCCCCTGGGGCCCCAGCACTCAGCCAACTCTCCTTCGAGAACCACTTTGAGCTTGGAGTCCAAGCAGCAGGAGGCCTGTCCAAGGCATCTTGGCGCTCTGCTAGGGGGTTGCTAGGGTGCAGGCAACTGCCTTGGGGAGGTGCTGCCTGGATACAGCACCCAGGACCTGGGGACGGAGGGGAAATGCCTCTTTCAGAGGCAAGTCCTTTGGTGGGAAAGGATGGAGAAGCTGCATGGCCCCTGTTTGTCATTAAGTCAACATGCTGTTTTTCTCCAAACTGATGGTCAAAACTGCCTCAGAGCCAGAGACTGCTCCTTCCTCATTCATATAGTCCATCATATTTCAGAACGTTTTTCYGTGAACAATGGATGGGCTTCTCCCAGGCTCTGTCCTAGTAGACTGGGAACTGGAGGAGGAAGACCAGCTGCAGAGACCTCRGGGGAAATGCAGAACTTCTGTGGGCTCCCAGGGTGGTTCGGGGTGGGGTCTTCCAGTGGTCTTGCATTGCCCACAGATGCTGGTGTCCCGGTCTTCAGAAACACCCTTCTGTTGACCAGTTCTCAGCTTGCTCTCTGGCTACAGGCCAGGGCACCACGGATGGCCACAGCGGCCCACTGCACAGCGGCCCAGGTCTGTGTGCTTGACTGTCTGCTTTGTCACAGTCGAGTGTGCTAGTGATTGCAGTATGTGTGTCACTCACTGTTCCATGGCTTTTCTGCAAAGCCACTTGTCCTGGTAGCTGCTTGGTCTGCTTGCTCCTCTGGTGCCTGCACCTAGGCCACCTCATCCTGGATACAGCCAGAGGGTTCTTGTCGCCCTCCATGTAGAACAGCTAAGCTTCATTCCCTTCCCTGTTCAGGGCTTGGGAGATGGTGCTCTGCAGGCCATCCTTCCAGAGACTGACTGATGGGAATGTGCTCTCGGCTTGGCAGGCCCTAGTTATTACAGCCAGCCAATGCTTCCCTGCAGGTGGGGGGATTGCAGACTTCAGCATCCCAGCCATCATGACCTCCTGACCATACCCAGCAACCCTTAGAGTGCCTTCAGTTACAGTCCATCTGTCCATTTCTCAGACTGGCCTTTGGAGAAGGCTTCCCTCCAACTACTGAATCAGGCAGAAGCAAAACCCCAGGCTGGACCCAAGACCCCATGTTGTCTAACCTGTTCTGCCGTTTTTATTGATCTAGGCGGGATTAAGGACACTGCATGACATTGGGCCAGAAATCCGGCGTGCTATATCCTGTGATTTACAAGATGACGAGCCRGAGGAAATTAAACGAGAAGAAGAAGATGTATTCAAAGTAATTATAACACATCTAGCTCCATACTGGCCACTTGGAAATAGTGGGGCAGGATTCCGGTCGGGACAGTTATGATCCACAGAAGAGTCTGGAGAATGCAAACCAGTTGCAGGGTCTAGAGGGGCTGGAGATTATACCCTCCCCATCCCCAAGACCCTATCCATTCACCAGCACCTCTTCTAGGCCAGGCCAGCTCTTTCTCTTGAGTTTACCCCTGCCCCCAACAGTCAGCTTCCAAGGAGCTTGGCCATGGCCACTGGCCAGTGTGGAGGAACATTCTGGGTTCTTCAGCAGCTACACACTTACTACCCTACCTCCCTGGGCCAGCTCCTTGATCTGCCTTTGGCCCTCAGTCCCCCAGGCCAGAGGGTATGCCCACTACCCCCACCTTGGGCCTGCCCACCAGCCCAGCTGGGCATAAGTCCCCTCAACTTGGAGTGACCGGAAGAGCACAGTTGAGTGACAGCCGAGAGACTGCTCCCCAGCTCAGGAATTGRTAACCTTCCTCATTTCAGGGGGACCAACTGCCACGTAAATACGTTCACCCTGACCACTGAGACACTCAGATTGTTTTACAGGGACCCTATGGAGCTTGCCTAGAATTTATTTTTCATGTAGAAAAAATTACCTGACATAGCTAGCCTGCATCAAATACTTGTTAAATTACCTGGTGTTGTCTCCCATTATTTTGCAGAGAAATGGTGCCCTGCTTGGAAACCATGTCAATCATGTTAATAGTGATAGGAGAGATTCCCTTCAGCAGACCAATACCACCCACCGTCCCCTGCATGTCCAAAGGCCTTCAATTCCACCTGCAAGTGACACTGAGAAACCGCTGTTTCCTCCAGCAGGAAATTCGGTGTGTCATAACCATCATAACCATAATTCCATAGGAAAGCAAGTTCCCACCTCAACAAATGCCAATCTCAATAATGCCAATATGTCCAAAGCTGCCCATGGAAAGCAGCCCAGCCTTGGGAACCTTGAGCATGTATCTGAAAATGGGCATCATTCCTCCCACAAGCATGACCGGGAGCCTCAAAGAAGGTCCAGTATTAAAAGGTAACCTTTAAAATGCATTTGCACTGGTAAAAATGTCTGCCTGTGTCGAGTCCGTCCTATGGAGCAAGGCGAGTCTTCTGTGCTCTGGYACACGGAGGAGACTCCCTGTAGACACTTGCATTAAAACCTGGGAGTACTGCCAAGCTTGTGGCTATTCCACCCACCATATATGTGGGACCCAACAGACCAGGGGCCACCTCGTGTCCTGCATCCTGCTGTATGGGGTGCCCCTCAAAGAAGAAGCTGCAAAATTCATGCTCCCTAGTTGTATCAATGTACCCTGGGCCAGGGGTTGGTGGATTTCTCCTGGAAAGGGCCAGAGAGTAAATATTTTAGGCTTTGAAAACTATTTGATCTCTTGCAACCACTCAGTTGATTGAAAGCAGCCAGAAACTGGATTTTAAGTGGAGGGGATGGTTGAGTCCTTATAAAACTTGGTGTGTGGACACTGAAATTTGGACTTCATATATTCACTATGATAAAATAATTTTGTTTTGATTTTCTCAGCTCTTTATAAATATAAGAAGTTCTAGCTCATGGGTCATGCAAAAAGGGGTAGAAGCCCACATTTGGCCCCTCGAGTACAGTTTGCCCACCCCTGCTAGGAGGTAGCCTAGTAGCTGCACTATAAATGTCATTGGAAATGTTTAACTTTTGTCTTCTCCCTCCCTTCCACTGTCACGCCTTTCCTGGATAGAACTCGCTATTATGAAACTTACATTAGGTATGTGTTCCTTGCCTGTGTTTTTGTGTTAAATGCTGTGCTGTTGTGTTACCAGTTRGCCACTCTGAATGCTAAGGATTGAGAAGCATTTCTTTGAGCTATTAAGTAGCCTAATAGGTTTTCATAATTCAGAGCTGTGGCCTTGGCGGGGGTCAGAGATTTTTCTTCCTCTTGGCAAAAAAGCTTTCAGATCTGTAGCAGCATAGACTTGTTGCCACCAAGGACTCATGGTCACATGCCAGTTGTGCCCCTACAGAGCCCTGGGGAGCTGGGCAACTCYGGATGTTCTTAGAAGTCAGGAGTCTTAGGGAAAGCATGACCCAGACCTGAAGATCAGGTACAAGAAAGATCTCCCTGGGCATTTCTCCTGTAGCCCTCAACCTTCACGCCTGGGTTCCACCTGTTGAGCTGAGTTGAATTGTGGGTAGGACAGTTGTGTTGTCAGGGGCAGGAGGAAATGAGTCTTCTGGTTTTTCTATTCCCAGTAAGTTTGGGAGCCACAGGGCCTCAGTAGGGTGAGAGTGCAGAAGCACAGCTCTTCCTTTGGAGAGCGGGTGGTCACTGAGCCTGGCTCGTGCTCCTGAACCTTAAGGCCAGGAGGATCCATGTGTCAGGAAGATGGTATGACAGCCTTAGATCAGGACAGCCTTCCTTGTGATGCTGGGTCAAAAACTCTTTGGCCTTCCTGGTTTGCTATGGTGGGAGGTCAATGGTGCAGAGGCCTCTCTGTTCCAGGTTCTGAAATCACATTGGGCTGGAGCTGGGGCAGAAGGGTGAGCACAGATGGCCTGGGAACCCTGGGTCTTTCCCACAGGACYGCTGACCACTGTGTGCAGTACCCTGGGCTCATCTTCTTGCTTTGTTCTCCAAATTATGTCTGTGTCTTTGGTCCCAAAGCCTCTGGGCACAGCAGTTTGTTCCCAGTATTGTACAGGGTCCTGAGACTACATGCACAGCATCCTTGCAGGGGCCTGAGGCAGGTGCCCTGGGGAGAAGCCAGAGGAGCTCTGCTGCTGTAGGCACTGTGCCTCCTTAGGCTCTTAGACCTCTCTCCCGACTGCAGGTCTGACTCAGGAGATGAGCAGCTCCCAACTATTTGCCGGGAAGAGGCAGACATACATGGCTACTTCAGGGACCCCCGCTTGGGGGATGCCGAGTATTTCAGCAGTGAGGAGTGTTATGAGGATGACAGCTCTCCCACCTGGAGCAGGTGAGGCACTCTGCCTGGTGCTGAGATTAGCAGGATGCACCCTGCAGCTGCACTCAGGGTTCCCCAGAAAAGCAAAGCCAGGGCAACAGCTCCAGAGTTGGAGAAGAGGGAGGACAGGAATTTCACACCTGCTACCTGCTATTCCTCCAGGTACCTCTGAAGCCTTTCAGTAGGGTTTCCAGACACCTGAGATGGGCCTTTCTGTCAGATCCCCATGTTCTGAGAGAAGAGGTTTTATTTAACTACCTTGGGAGCTCCAACCTGGGGGAGCTCAGGTAGTTAAAGCCAGCCTGAAGCTTGGCCATGCTGTGGATGAACAGCTCTTATTTAGGGTGGCTGGAACAGGCACTGTGCTTCAGGACACACCCAGGGGGACAAAGGTCACCTGCCACCCCTTCTCTGAACTGTGTTTCCCTATCTGACCATGGCCAAAGGATCACCAGAGTAAAAGTGGTGCTGCTGTAAGGTCACATCTGTCCCTGGCCACAGGCTGACCCTTTCTCTTCTCCACATGGTACCTCCACCACCATCTTCCAATGCCCAAATTCCACAACCACTGATTCTGAGCCAGATGGACCCCAGGTTTCCTTCAGGATCCTTGTCTTTGGGGTCTTATTCATACCATGTCCAGTGCATAGACAGTCATCTCTACAGGCCTCATTCCACCCTCTCTTCAAGGGTCTGCACCAGGGCCTTGCTTTTCATTTCCCTGCTTGGAATGGAAATGTACCCCTTTCCCCCACACACACCAACACMCCACCAAAACCAACACCTTCTCACAGAATCTGCCACATGCTGCTGTCTTCTAACCCAGTTCCTCTGTCCTCCTCAGCTTGCACTGAGTAGTGTGCTTACGGCCTTTTCTAAGCTCCTTGTGGATGGAGAATAGGCTTCATGCATCCTGGTGTCCCTGTGTCCATCCCAGGTCATGTCAAGCTGACGGGGCATCTGCCCTGGACCTGAGGCTGGCCCAGGGGTGGAAACTACCAGCATATCTCTTACCATAAGCCTCCAGTGCTGGGGCCCTTCTGCAATGGCCCTTGCTCTCCCTATTCAGAATCTTCCATGAAACTGAGGGCAGCCTGTTCTCCACTCGTCCTGCTGAGTGCAAGGGAGGTGGGGKTGGGGAGTCTGTCAGAGCTAGAATCTCACGTGCACCTTCCCTCTTGACCCTTCTGACTGCTAGGCGAAACTACAGCTACTACAGCAGGTGCCCAGGCAGCAGTATGGACTTCGAGCGGCCCCGAGGCTACCACCCTCCCCAGGGCTTCTGGGAGGACGATGACTCCCCTGTTGGCTATGACTCACGAAGATCTCCCCGGAGACGCCTGCTACCTCCCACCCCAACATGTGAGGCCGCGTTTCTTGTTTTGGGTGAAGCCTCCCAGAGAATGGTGTGCCTGTCCCCTCACCCTCAGACTAGTCTTGCCACATCATGGTCCGATGGTCCTCGAGGCCAGCCCCTCGGATGCTGAGGGCCTTGGCCTTCCTGTCACCGCACCCTTGATGGAGCTTATGCTGCTCAGCATTGCCCGTGGCTCTTCTTGAGGACAGAGGCAGGCTGTTGCCCTAAAATTGCACACCGATGCTGGAGAAGGGGCTCTTGTGGGCGCCGCRTTGCCCTTGAGCCTGGGGTCTGTCCTGAGAGCTGGGCAAGACAGACGTGTGCCTTTGTTGTCATCAGCTCTGCCCCACTCCACCCTGAGGATCTGTCTCTGAGAGGGAAGGATTGGCTCAGTACAGAGCTGGACCTGCCCAGGGCCTGTCTACAAGCCCTGCCTCTGAGGAGCACCTGGGGATTCTTGGTGTCCRTTTCTCCTCCAGTCCCTCTTCTGGTCCCTCCAGGGCTTAATCTCCTTTCCCTCCCTCCCTCTCAGGGAGGGGCAGGTAATGGCCTTGGTAGTCACCTCCAGGATAGATGTTCCTATTCTGGGRTCAGAGAGCCTGACCCGATGAGGGGGGACTTCCTTGCTTTTTTCCTCCAGCAAGTGCCATGACTAGCACTGTCAGATGTGGGTCACCCCAAGCAAAGATCTCAGGCTAGGGAAAGAACTGCAGCCGTGGCCCTGCCAGTTTTTGGTGGGGCAGTTTCATTTTGGACATGTGGGTGTTTTGATGGGTAAAAGAATGTCCATTTCTGGTGTCTCTGGGGAATGAAGCTTAATTTTGAACAGGACTCTAATCGGTAACCAAAAATAACTGAGACAGCAGCTCCTGACTCTCCCTGCTGCCCCCACAGTGAAGAGCGTGATTGGGTGGTGCATGGGACTCTGTGCCTCATTCCAGCTGTCACAGCCTGCTGGGCCGTGTAATCAGACCCATTTCCATGGTTAATATTTAATTGTTCAGCAACAAACACACGCTGCTCAATGGAGCCATTCTGTTTCTCATAAATACTAGATGAAGTGTGTGCAGGTGAGCTTGGGTGGAGGGTCCCCTGTGTCTCTGTGGTTTCTTCTGCCTTCCTTTGACCTCAGCCTTTGCTTATTCACCCACACAGATGGCCCATGGACATGTGCACGGATGCCCACCACCCCATCCGCAGCCACGGAGAAGGGCYGGGCAGGCAGGAGCAGCTGCCCTCCTCACCTATAAGGGGGCTTGGTTTTGCTGTCCCTCAGCTCAGACCTTGGGCAGGGAGAAAATTGAGCTCCTCTAGCCTGTGTTCTCAGCCACCATGGGATGACTCCTTCCTCAGGAGATTGTTATGCAGAGCACACCAGATGAGAGGATGTGGGGACCGGTTTTAGACATGGAAATGTACCATATGCATGAGAGGGATTATTACTTTCCTGTCCCACCTGAACTTCTGGGCCTGCCACCAGATCATGGGTCCTAGAGGTTGTACTAACAGGCCCATCCCCTGGGTGGTKCGTGGAGGGAAGGCTTTCAAAGGCAGGAGGTCCCAGCAAGCCCTCAGAGGGTGTTGAGCCTGGCCCATTGTGGCCTTCTGTTTGATTCCTCTCCCTTGGGCAGTGGCCAGCCAAGGGTTCAGCCTCTTTCGTGACAGACTCCAGTTTCTAGAGCTTCACGTGCAGTCTAGGCCTCTCAAGGCCAGACCCTGAGGTTTTTCAGTACAGGAATTAAGAGCATGTGGAGTTTTACTGGGGCCAAGAAATTCCCTGTGAGCTTGGAGCACTTGAAATGATGCAGCTGCTGCCTGGAGGACCACGGGTGGGCTCCCTGCAGCAGCCCCATGAGGGTGGAACAAAGGCCTTTTGCTCAGTGAAAGGGCCTCGGATTCAGCCTGATCTCCTGGGCTCCATGAAGCTAAAAGTTACAAGTCGCCTTGTCATCGTTCAACCTATGAGTGAACCTCCCTTCAAAATAGCTCCTTAGTAGGATGGCCACATTCTCAGAGGTGTTCTTTGGCTCTTGGGAGGCTGGGTCCAYGTCCAGTGATAATGTGTGCTCACTGCGTGGTTGAGCTGATGGGGCAGGCAGAATCCCTTCCTTGAGAGGCACAAACATGAGGCCTTGTGTCTGAAGGTGAAACAGGGACAGTGAGGAGAGGTCTGGAATTCTAGAATGATTCCATGAGCTTGTTCTCCATGATAATGTGTGACCGGGGCTGCTGACCCAACCTGGATGTCCTTTGGCCTGCTTAGAACAGATGGACACTTACTACATTTTTATTTTTAAAAATACAACAAAACTTAGTCGGGCTGCTTCCTTCATCTTCCCCTCCCATCACTGAGACCTCACTACACCTCTCTCCCAAGTAGACGGTGTGCTGCTTCCCGGGTTCAACATCCGGGGCCACCCCTATTGCAAAGAGATGCTGTCCTGGCAGAACCCGCTTCACCATGCATGATGTGCTTTGACTTCCCAGCTCACCGGAGATCCTCCTTCAACTTTGAGTGCCTGCGCCGGCAGAGCAGCCAGGAGGAGGTCCCACTGTCACCTGCCCTGCCACACCGAGCGGCCCTGCCTCTGCACCTGATGCAGCAGCAGGTGAGCCACCCACCTGGCCTTCCTCTGCCTGGGTCCCATTGGATGCACCCTTCCCTTGGCTGCCAGCACCCAGAGGGAGGGAGGGAGAGAGAGAACCTTCACATACAATCTGGTCTAGTCCTGGGAGCAGCCCTGCCCGATAGATCTTCCAGCCCACTCCACAGGAGCGCCACGGGAGGGGAAGCTGGGCCTTGTCTGATCCAGTGCCAGCTTCCTGGCACTGAAGACAAGGCTGGGATAATCCCTGTCTCAGGGAGCCATAGCCTCTTGCCAGATTCCCCCAAATTGCCGCTGTTCTTTATCTGCTCTGAGAGGTAGTTCCTCTGTTAAGACACATTCATGGAGTTCTGTGGTCACAGGGATGGCCCAGGGAACTCCCTGCCCACAGGGAAGGTAGCTGGGCACAAGGCAGCCTGTGGCACCCACTCACTGGTGCTCTGCCTCAAGGACAAGAGTATGGTTCACCATATGTCTGTTCATGGATTGTGGGGCACAGGGTGGTCAAGGGACTTTCTAGCACTCAGCCAGTCCATTGGTAGAGACAGGTCTTTGCAGGGTTCTTAAMCCAGGGTCCTGAGCACATGAACACTCAGTGAGGCCAGTTCAGATTTTCTAGTCCAGTCTCTGCCAGCTTTTCACKTCTCTGCTTGCATGTTTTGGGGAGCAGGGTGAATACTGGGGATTGAACCCAGGGGTGCATATCTACTATACCACATCCCCAGCCCTTTTTTAACTTTTTGAGGGAGACTCTTGCTGAGTTACTGAGGGCCTCACTAAGATGCTAAGGCTGGCTTTGAACTTGGGATCCTCCTGCCTCAACCTCCCTAGCCACTGGGATTACAGGAGTGCACCAGCACACCCAGCCCTCTACTTGCACTTTTAATGCTAATTTTTAATTGTTCTGTGTCATCAAGGACAAAGAACAAACCTTTAGAAGATCCAAGCCACCAGATGTTATGATTCTAGTAGGCATGGAGGTCTCTAAGGGCATATGCTTCATGTGAACCAGGCCCTGGTCTTGTCTCAGCTGCCTCCATTGGGTGAACCTGTGCTGTTTACCCACAGGCTCAGGTCCCTCTGCACTGTGGGAATCCYAAGGCGGATCTGCTGTGGTGAAGTTGTAGGAAGCAGGGTTTGTGCTCAGTGCCACAGGACAGAGGACTGCTGGGCACAGGGTGAGCTGTACTGGAGAGGAGCGAGCCAGCTATTTTCCTCTGTGAGCTGGACTCCTTACTTTTTCCTGAACATCCTCCAGTATTTAAACCCAGAGAGACCAGGTGGTATGTCCACACACCTCAACTTCCCAATTCGTCGTCATTCCGAAGCAACTGCATGATAGTAACAAAACTCCTTGTGCAGTAATAGGAAACACATTAGGAATGACTTGGGGTAAGAGAAAACACATCTGTTAGGAACCCACAGTTCTTTTGACAGCTCACTTAATTTTYTTGTGTCCTTGGGAGAGGCTGCCTATGAAGCAGCACCCAGCCTCTCAGGGCCTCCTCCTCCCCACTCTCCTGTCTCTCCTCAGATCATGGCAGTTGCAGGCCTGGATTCGAGTAAAGCCCAGAAGTACTCACCAAGCCACTCAACCCGGTCATGGGCCACCCCTCCAGCAACCCCTCCATACCGGGACTGGACGCCGTGCTACACCCCCCTGATCCAGGTAGAAAGGTCAGAGTCCCTGGACCAGGTCAATGGCAGCCTGCCATCCCTGCACCGCAGCTCCTGGTACACAGATGAGCCTGACATCTCCTATAGGACATTCACACCAGCCAGCCTGACTGTCCCCAGCAGCTTTCGGAACAAAAACAGTGACAAGCAGAGGAGCGCAGACAGCTTGGTGGAGGCAGTGAGTATGGACTTCAGCCACTGGGGCCTGAGAGCAGAGGCAGAGCCAGGAGAGCCAGCCAGCCACACTCAAACAGGAGGGGGCCAGAGCCTGTCTACCCAGTCCTGACACTCCTCAGCAGGAGGAATGGTGTGCAAAGCCTGAGCAGAAACAGCTAGATCTCATAGATGAGCTACACTGAGCTCCCTGCGAGCGTTTCCCCCGGCACTGCCAGGCTGTACCCTATTCTCCCCCCAGCGGGTTCACTCTGGAGCCATGTGGGGCTTTTCGGCTTCCTGATGTTTTCAAAGCTAAAGCCATTCACACTTAGTCGTCACTTGTGAGGTCTGGGAAACGTGGTTGGGCGAGGTCCCCATGGCACATCATGCAGTTAGCACTTGAGTGGCTTTTTCTGCCACCTCTCCCCCTCAGCAAAGCCATGACATGTTGATGCCACCTTGTATCTTGTACAGGTCCTGATATCTGAAGGCTTAGGACGCTACGCAAGAGATCCAAAATTTGTGTCGGCTACAAAACATGAAATCGCCGATGCTTGTGACTTAACCATTGATGAGATGGAAAGTGCAGCCAGCACCCTGCTCAACGGGAACGTGTGTCCTCGGGCCAACGGGGATCTGGGTCCTGCCTCACACCGGCAGGACTATGAGTTCCAGGACTTCGGTCCAGGCTATAGTGACGAAGAGCCAGACCTTGRACGAGATGAGGAAGACCTGGCAGATGAGATGATCTGCATCACCACCTTGTAGCCTCAGCAGGGGCAGAGCAGCTCCAGCCTTTGTGGGGGAAAAGTGCCTCGTAGTTAGAAAGTTTAGGCACTAGTTGGGAGTAAATATTCAATTAGACTTTTGTACAAGTGATGTCATGCCTCAAGGAAGCCATAAACCTGGTAGGTACAGGTTCCAAGCRGCGAGCTCAGCAGTGCGCCAGGCGCTGAGCCCAGCAGCAGAAGGCAGATCTGGTCCTCTTTCGAGGGCGGGTAAGGCCAGAGCAGTTCCTGCCGACCACCCAGATGGGTGCTGCCAGGGGAGTCCAAGTCTCACCGCACCCAGGGTGCCCGAAGGAGCGGTGGGGAAGGTTAAAGGTGATGACGATCATCACACCTTGTCATTACCTCAGCCATCAGTCTAGCATATCAGACACTCACTGGGCCCAGCATATCCATTTTTATACCCCAAACACACTGCTTCCTGGTTCCTGTTTAGCTGTTCTGGAGGACAGTGTCAGAACCCCGCTACCAGCGATCATCATGAGAGRGGAGTGGGACCTCATAGACAAGGTTTTCTGCTATATGACGCCAGTTTACATAAGAGAATGTCACTCGGATGGTCAGTTCCGACTGTCGTGCTTAAGGGCAACTGTAAACTGGAATAATAATGCACTCGCAACCAGGTAAACTTAGATACACTAGTTTGTTTAAAAATTATAGATTTACTGTACATGACTTGTAATATATTACAATTTGTATTTGTAAAGAGATGGTCTATATTTTGTAATTATTGTACCGTATTTGAACTGCAGCAATATCCATGGGTCCTAACAATTATAGTTCCCCACTGAAATCTAGAAATTACTAGTATTTTTACTTGGGCTATAGAAAGGTAGACAAAATAGAGCCAATTCTCACATATTCAGTGAAAATCCTTTGGGGGTAAAATTTTGAGTTCGAAAGAACTTGACACTACAGAAATTTTTCTAAAATATTTTGTCACTATAAACCTGTCTTTACATAAGTATACAAGATGACTACTTGCAGTTTTTTTCTTTGGGCAAGAATTCTATGATTTTGATAGGGTACTTTTATCCACCAGGGGTTGCAATTATCTGTTTGGTTTTACTTTAATAACCCTCTGATAAGTCTATYACAGAGTAGGTCAAGCTGGGCTACTCTGCCCTGGTGCAGGCGTAGGTTTATTGCCTCAGCTGCCCACACAGGCCATTTCTGCAACTCTGCTGCAGAAATAATTGCACAGGTGAAAGTAGTATGTCTGCTCCAGTGCCCTAGGGACTGGTGGTGCTGGGGTGGGGGATGGAGGAGCACTGTGGTGACCCTTAGGGTCAGAATGTTGGGGTCTGTACAGATTATGCTGTTGCCTTTTACAAAATGTTGCTGTGCTGTGTTCTCTTTGAGGGCTTTTATATGCAATTGAATGAGGGCTGAAGTTTTCATGAGAATGTACTGACTGTACGTCCTGGAAAAAGCCAGTTTTGGATCATTAGAACTGTCAAGGCTTCCTTTTCTGTTAAGAATCACTCCAACGTCATTACGTGACCTTGGCAGGGATTCCCTGCAATCACAAAGACAGGTAGCAATTTTGGTTCAAATTTTTTTAACTAGTACATAGACAAACTGAATTTTTTTTTTTTTTTTTGTAAATAACACTTTGTTATAAAGACCTCACAAACCTCTTCGTAAGACATTCTTACTCCAGATCTGGGCAAAAACACTTCAAGGTTTGTAAATGACTATTTCCTGACAGAAAGCCTTTTTTATTAAAATGCAAACTGTTCTTCAGAATGAAACTGCGTAATAATTTCATTGTCTTCGGGAGCTCTCCTGGCCAGTGAGAGCTGCGGGGCAGGCGCTCTCGGGGCAGCTCTGCACACAGGTAGATTTTTCCTCGTCCTCAGCTCCTTCGATGCCCATGGTAACACCAGCCACAGAGAGCGCCACTTCTCCCAAAGGGCTACACCACTGTCAACATTATCTGGACTGTCTCCACTGGGTTTTGGTATTACTGTGGGGCTGCACATCATCAGCTCAAAATCACCTCCCAGGACTGCATGTTCTGGAACAGGTGACAAGTGTTTTCCGAAGTCAGTACTTAAATGCTGGCGTTGATAAAGGCTGCACCACTTCCTGGTATCTGTCTGCTTTAAGCCTGGTCCAACCTCTCATCTAATATTAAATTTCTCTTTTTAAGAAAAATCTGAAGTTGTAGAGCATGGTTTTTTCCCTTTGTTTTAGGAGAGTTTTAAGATTTAATATCTCTACTTTCTGGACCCTCCCCCAAACGGTTTTGTATTCTCAGGAATAGTATATATCTTTAACCTTGTGCAGAAATGGCGATTTTGATTCAACTGTAAATCAACAGTGAGAACCATCTTGTTCAGCATGTGGACTCTAATTCCCAAACAGCTGGATTCCCGTTTGGCCAGGTGACAGGTCCTAGCTCTGGTGTGTTGCAGAATTGAGTGAAGGCCAGGAGGGGTGGATTTGGGGGGACTGAAAGCCACTCATTGCAAGCTGTGGCTCTGCCTGCCTGGGGCAATGGCAGCTAGATGCTCACCCACTTTACTAGGGGACCCCATTCTTCAAAGAAGCCAGAGATGTTTATTTCACAGTCTAAAATGTCTATGCCAATTGCATTTTCCTACAGGCTTTTATTTATAGGGTGGACCATTTATTTGTTAAAAAAAAAAAAAAAAGGCTAGCCACAGAGCTGATAGCACATGCGGAACACCAGCGCCTGACCTACAACTTAAGGCCTAGCTGTGGCTTATTGAAAGGTTCTTTCTTCCCTCCAGGGCCTGGGAGGGCAGTGTGGAAGGAGGAACAGGTTTGGGTGTTGGCTTCTGCCATCAGAATGGGGTGAGGAGGGTGGCTGGAGAATATCTGGACGCATGAACAAGAGGTATCTTTTTTTCTGATTTTCAAGGGGGAAGAAACAAAAATTGTCTCAGCGCCGATGTCATGTTAGTTTATAAGTGGAAATATGAAAACAACTTTTGGGCTGAGGGTTAGGGTTTGGCTGGAGTGAAGAATCTATTTGAATTTATGGAAATCATTATCCTGCAGCCTGCAGTGGAAGCGGAAAGGCTGTGCGTTGGGGCACCTCAACTTCCGCTCCTGGCACTCACCATTTCTAGTCATGCTGGCTGAGGCTCCTGGCCCTTCCTCGATCCGTCCCTCCTATCAGTAATTCTTCCCGTGGTGTGAGTACGGTCATCTTCCATGAGGTGAGGCTCCTCAGAGCTCTGGCCATGGATACCYTTCTGACTCTTTGAGCAGAGCAGTCTTCTGCTGTTAGGTATGATAAGCTTTTTGGCAAGAGGCTCAGCCATTGAAGTTGGCCTGGTTCCCCACAAGTGAGCACTGTCCTGCCTACTTGGGCTCCCTCAGCCCTCTCTTCCTCGTGGCAGTGGAATTTCCAGACAGCCTGTTGTTTGGATGTGGGCCAGTGCTGTGGCAGCAGCCACATCTGTTTGTCAGGGCTCATGTGAGGAACTCTTCAACTCAACCTTGTGCCTGGACCCCAACAGCAGTTTCCTGGTTTGACTTCTGTGGGTTCTGGACACATGACACTTGCTGTCTTATCTCTTGAATGTGTTTCCTTGTGCGATTATGTGGAAACCGCCTCACCATGTGAAAGGAGGAGAGGGGCCTGATGGGCTCTTATCACATGTCACTCTGCTTATCTCAAGATACAGCTGCTTTTGTCTCAGAGACTGAGACACCATGGGATGCAGAGATGTTGGAACTAAATGACTTGTCAGCTGCCCTATCTACGTCAGTAAATTCACAGTCAGCCCTGCAACCAAAACGTACCCTTCCCTGAATCAACACGACCTCTCTGACTGGATGGTAGCACGTGGCCTAGCTGCCATCTGAGTCCCCAGAGGATGGATGGCTGCTGAGGGGACCCTCTAACTTTTGAGGAGAAATCTCTTAGCAGATCTCGAATTTTCTTTTTTGATCTTCTCTTGGAACAGAGAAAAAAATACAGGTAWGATTAAACAAGAACTGCCTAAAGTTTTAAAAGGAATATGTATGATGGTTTCTTTCTGTCCACCTTTCTGGAAGGTTTTTCTTCAGAAATGTTAAGTTGCAGTTATTGGGCCTCCAAGATCTGTGAGCTGCCTGGAACCCCTGGGTTTCCCCCTCCTTATTCTGGGCCCAACACTGCAGGTTTCCACATCACTTTTCTTCCCTCCTATCCATGGAAGATTTGCACGGTTTAACTAAAAGCATTTTGAATTGATTTTTCTTTTCATTCGCAAGCCTATGGGGTGTCACAGTTCAAAAATAAGTTACTATAATATATTAAATATCAAAGAGCTTTTGTAAATGCTCCTTGTAGCTATCCCCCTCCCTCCGAAAACTCAAATCTTCACCGATTACTGTTTCTTGTACTTAGCTGCTTTTCTATCACTCTCGGCACCATTCTGATCTGTTCCCATGAACGTCCAGAGAATAAGAATTTGCCCTGTCTCTGTACTGGAGCCCTGGGAAGCAGCCAGAGCTTTCCTGACAAAGAAGTGACCTGGTACGTGGAGTTGGCTCTAGGAGTCTGTGTTTCTTGGTAATAAGACCAAAGTGCCTTTCCCTCCTTGAATGAGGTCCAGAAAGCCTTTCATCGGGACTGTTTAATAAGAATCAGAACACTACGGAGGGGGCCCTCCCTCTGACAGTAAAATCAGGATTAGGGAAAGACAAAAGTCAGATGGCAACTTTCCCTCTGCCCAGGGATCCTCAGGATTCGGTGCCAGCCTGGGCTGAGCTAACTCCTGTGACTTGCAGCCTCGGGTAAAGCTCAAGACACAGGATGATACCCTTCCTTGGGGRGCTCAGTGCAAGCTTACCACATCTGGGCAAACCACCCTGTCCTCTTAGGGGGAAGCCTGGAAGAAAGCATTCTGCTCGAGGCAGCAGGACCCTGCGTTGGAGAAGACCACATGGATACAGGATGAGAATGTGGCAGTTCACGTTTCCCTATCACCTCCGCTGTCCTCCAGGAGGCAGGGTCCCAGGCTACACAGTGGCCTTCCCCCAAAGGACTATATCAAAATGCTGGAGGAGAACAACTCGACATACTGACTAGAACTAGTCTCATTTCCTGAGACATTATCCAGTTCTCAGCCACCGAGTAGGGCTACCTAGGTCCCAGTGTTCCAGGTGGCTTCTGGCAACATTTGGAGGAAGGGCGGCTGATTGGTCCTGTCAGCGTGCTGGGGGCCTCTCTGGTCATCCTGAGGCAGTGGCTGTCTTAACGCTGGGTGTCCAAGGTCTTAGGCTTGTAGACAGGAACATCCCTGTCCCAGAGTGCAGGCTGCCCCTTAATGATGTCGGCTGCTTTCTCTGCAATCATGATTGTGGGGGCGTTCAGGTTGCCACTGACTATGCTGGGCATGATGGAGGCATCAACGACCCTGAGGTTTTCTACCCCCAGGACCCTGGTCTTTGGGTCCACCACAGCCATGGGATCGGAGGGCTGGCCCATCTTACAGGTGCATGAGGGGTGGTAGGCACTGTCAGCTTTTCTCCGCACAAAGGCATCTATCTCCTTATCGGACTGAACGTGGCTTCCTGGCTGGAGTTCCTCCCCCCGAAAGGGAGCCAGGGCTTCCTGTGCAAAAATTTCCCTGGACAGCCTCACACACTGACGGAATTCTTTGATATCTGTTTCTGTAGAGAAGAGACAAAATGAGGCCCTTCCTCTTACATGCTGGCCTTCCTGGAAAATTCCAGGTATGCAGAGGCTCAACCAGCCACAGGGGACAAAGTTCACAGACATGGAAGGAAGACCAAGTCACCAGGTGTGTATCACCTGCCCACAACCATTCTAGATGGGCAGCTTCTGCCCCAGAGTTCGCATGGGGGCTTTCACAGCCACATGGTAGCAGAGGTGCTCATTTTGGCAAATAGGCAGGCCTGGTATGGTGAGCTGCTTACACACCGCCAGGTGTCCCTGCACCTCTCACCTGCCAAGTGAGGTGCTGGGGTTACTTCACCTGGCCCAGGACATTGTGCCTCCAAGCTTACGGCCTAGGGTGATAGGGCAGGGACAAATGAGGATCCTATAAAGGCATTTATCCAGCCTAGGTCGAGGGGAGATACCAGCAGCTCCTGAATTACCTGTGGACAAGTAGTTGGGTTGGATTATTGGGTGGTCCTGGGGATTTTTACTTCTCAGTTTGAGCCAGCCCACACTTGGGCTCCGCATAGGCCCCACGTGTACCTAGGAGAGTTCAGAGGAGACAATGACATTGACCTCCCTCAACCCAACGCAGTAGCTTGGAGCAGTCTTTGGTTTCCTGTGGGGTAAGCCAGCATCAATTAAGAACAGGTAYAGTCTGACACATGTCTGGCCTGCATCTCGCCCTATCTCCAGGAATCCCTGTTCCCTCCCAGCTTTACACTCCCTGGTACACAGCCTGTCTTGCCCATGGCTGGTGATGGGACCCCAGAGCCCCCTCCTCACACTGATCAACTCCTCCCTTCCATACAAAGATTCTGGGCTGCCACTTTTCTCTCCCCATTGACACACTGAGCCACTGGAGGGCAAGGGTCTGAAAGCCCCATACTGGGAAGGAGGAATCTGCCTAGCAGTGGCTCCTGAGCTCACCTGGTAAGCCTCCTGCTTGGTGGGGACCCGGCCATGATCAATCACTTGGGATGGCAGGAAATGGAACTGAATATCTGGGTGGGAGACCCCAGGCTGGCTGCGGATAAACCCACCCGTTTCCAGATGGGATGTGGCTCCGTACCCTGAGTATCAGAAGAGGATAAGGCAGGCAGAACAATTGTTCCTGGTACCTTCCYCCCATCCTCCTGGCCCTAAGCTCTATCCATAGCTGCCGCAGGTGGGTTCACCCACACCACAGCTTTAAATATCAACCGTGTGCCTAATGGGGGCTTCAGCTGCCTATTGGCCCCTCCCACCTGGTTCAGGGTATAGCAAAGGAGTGGGAAACAGTCTGAGCTGGGGAGGATTTCCAAGAAAGGTCCCCTGGTTGAGGCAGTGCCGATTCTGCAGCCCAGTACCAAGGTCTTCTCTCTGCCTTGTTCCACGTGGGGGTCCATCCCCACCTGCCTATAAGAAGGGCAGCTCCTGAGGATTCTGCTTGAGTGGGCACTGCGCTAAGGGCTTCAGGYCCTCATACCAGTCTGTCAGGCAGGAGCTTAGGGCTCGGGTAAAGGGCCTAGTTCAGCTTCAAACGGAAACCTGAAGCCTAGAGTCCTTGCTTAGCTCTTCGGGAAGGAGAGCACAATGCCCATAGCTACCAAGGTCACAGAGGAACCTGCCTACCTGTGAATCTCCACAGCCATTCCAGTCCAATGCAGATCTTCCTTAAGGGCTTCTGGGCTGAGTGGAGGGTGATGGGGTGGGTGCAGGCCTGTTGGATGTATATCTCCAGGTGGTCCTGCAGGTTCTGGCCAACTCCTAGAACGGGAGGGAGTGGTTAGGGAAAATGGCTACCATGGAGGCTTAGCTGGCTTCGAACCCCGTCCCCCTTTCACTTAGCCACCCTTCCTACAACTCCAGCCCTTTTTTGAAGCTGCCTGCCTTGTCCAAGTGGGAGGGGCTGGCTACGGATCCATGTCCAGAGCAACCTGGAGACCCYTGGGCTCATGGGAAAGATGTGTCAGTTTCTGGAAGTAGTAAGGGGGGAGGCTCACCAGGCAGGTGGCACACCACAGGGATGCCCAGTCTCTTGAGGTCATCTGCATTCCCAATGCCTGAAAGCATGAGCAGCTGTGGAGAGTTGATGGCACCCCCGCTCAGGATCACCTCCTTGCTGGCATAAGCCTGGAAGAGGCAAAGAACCACCCAGTCATATCTCCTGAGAGCCAGCTATTCTCGCAGCTCACCGACCAGCACCCCACTCCAGAGCCACAAGAACATGGCCTTGGGATGTACTCATGTTGGGCATGAGGATGCTGCAGTCACCACCCTAGAGATCCTGCTCACAGGCCCAGGAATAAAGGGGGAGTGCACTGTGTCACCATTTGAAAGTAACCTGCAAGTGCATTCAGGGTATGTTCAAATCATGGACCTAGCTTTAGAACATTCTGTAACAGTGGCCTTAAAAACAGAGGAGGCTGACAATCACAGCTTAGAACCCAGCCTCCACAACTCTGATCCTATCTCAAGGGCTCTGATATAGCAACTAGTGTGCCCAACTCCTTGGGTTCCGTCCCAAGTAGCAAAAAAATAAAGCAGACGGTGGCATTTAAATGAGGTGAATGACAACAGTTACTCAAGTAGTAAAAGCATGCATGCATGGAGCCAAACCAACCTGCTAAGTGGAGAGAAGCACACTGCAGCAGCACAGCATTCAATCTCATTCATGGGTTTTAAAACATCTAGCATAAACCTGAGGTGGGCATGGCATACTGGTACCACAGGATCTTCCTCCTCTCTACCAGCCACAGCCTCCCTATGAGACAGAGGAAATCCATCTCTTCTGTCACTCATCAGAGGGACAAGAGCATGTGGCTGGGGAGGAGGGCATGACTTCTGCCCAGGCTGCCAGGTCACTGCACATTCCCTTCCTGTGCTCTGAGCTAACAGGGGCCCTGCTGTAGTTCACTCACCCGGTGGCTCTGGCCATTCTTGATGTATTCCACACCCACAGCACGGTTGCCTTCAAACAGCACCCTGTTCACAAGCGTCTGGACTTCAGCCCTGAGGTTGGGGCGGTTCAGTGCTGGGTGCAGATAGGCACAGGCTGCACTCCAGCGCTTGCCTGCAGGACAGAGCAAGATCAAGTATAGCCCCTGCTCTTTCCCTGACACTGTTGGAAGGCTGGGGAAATGGTGAATATGTCCTGCCTCTGACTGTGCAAGGCCTGTCTTCAAAGTAAGGTTGAGCCCTGAAGCCCTGCCCAAGTCGAAAACTACCCGAGGTCCCCTGGGCACAGGTGGAAAACCATCTTTTACCCTAACAGGATGACAGAGGGGTCAGGACCCTGAGTTGAGCCCTGGCCTTGCTTCTGTCCTACACGCTTCTGGGTCAGTATCCCAGTTTATGAAAGAGGGTGCCACCGAAGAGGGCCATGTGCTCCTGATGCCTCTCTGTGCCTCAATTTCCTCTTCTAGAAAACTCTGAGCTCTTGGTCCAAGAAGCCCATTATCCCTTGTCCACACCACCAGGGCCAAAGTGATGCCATGTCTCTGGTATTAGGGTACATTCTGTAGCATCTGGGGGCCAATACCATTTTACCACACTTACTGATCCCAATAGGGCTAGAGAGAATGGGCCGTGATAGAGTACAGTTTAGGAGGTGAGGACAGCGGGGACCCACGCTACCTTCGTGGATGGTCATATCCATCCAGCCAAAGCCCTCCTGCTGGAAGCCATTCATGTCATCGGTGAGCGGGTAGCCGGCCTGCTGTGCCGCCTGCAGGAATGCCAGGTGCAGTGGGTGGCCTGTCTTGCCTCTGGACACACGCAGTGGGCCATCGCCGCCACGGTACTGGCTGGCACCCAGCTCATGGCCCTGTGCCCTGCGGAAGTAGGGCAGGCAGTGTTCATAGTCCCAACCTTCAGCGCCTTGGCTCTGCCAGCGGTCGTAGTCCTCAGCGTGCCCACGGATGTAGACCATGGCATTGAGGGATGATGAGCCACCCCAGACGCGGCCACGCGGCCAGTACAGTGCACGCCTGTCCATGGCCGGCTGCGGCTCTGTGTGGTAGTACCAGTTATACTTGTCATCACACAGGTTGTCCACGAGGGCTGCGGGCATGTGGATCTTCCATAGGAGCCGCTTGCTCCCAGCCAGCACATCCTTGGGCCCTGCCTCCAGCAGCAGCACCCGCTCTGCAGGGTCCTCGGTGAGCCGATTGGCCAGCACACAGCCCGCCGAGCCTGCGCCCACCACCACGTAGCTGTGCTCATCCCCGATCTGCGAGCCAGTGCTAGTCCAGGCTCTGCTACCCAGAGGCCCTGGCTGCCCCAGGGTTGCCCATGCCAGGACTCCCCGACGGCCCAAGCACCCTTGGCTCCAGCCTTGAAGGATACGCCACATATTTCAGCTCAAGTCTTCCTGTCCACGGAGGGGAATGGGACAATCCACTTTTCCTAGGACGAGAAAAGGGGCTTTAAGCATCCTAATCTGCGAGCATGTGCAAAAATCAGACCAAAGCTGGGGTGGCCATACTGGGACAGCAAAAGTCCACTGGAAGGTCACCAAGGGCCTGCTCTGCATTGGTTGGGGCCAGCAGTCACCCACAGTCACTTCTAAGGGCAACTGAGAAGGAGCAAAAAATTCCATATCGAAGTATGCCAGTCAGGACCCACTATCACAGGGCTTGGGTAGCAGCAGGGGTGCCCTGAAAAGATTTTCCTGTGACATTGTGCATGAACCAGGAGGCCGAAAGTCTGTCTACTGGAAGGCAGAAGAAAGAGCTTTCCAGGGTGGGAAAGCAAAGGCACCTACACTCRTTCACTGGAGACAGTTGCCAAACCCCTACCAGGCATGGTATTTTTCTCTAGTGATAGAGGAAAAAAAAAAATCTGCTTCCAAAACTGATGTTCTGGAGCCAGGGAGGAGAACAAGGCATAAGTAATGGAAGGAAGGGTCCCCAGACTGTGGAGCTCATTGCCTTTGACTTGAGGGACCACAGGAGCACCAGAGAGGTTTTAAGAAGGGGACAGGGTCAGAGAGACACTCTTAAAAGATCACTCTGTAGCATACTACTGGAATTTTGACAGGGAAAATGCAATWGTATTTGCAGGGTCTCTTCCACAACAATGTTAAACTCAAACCCAACATACTCAGTAGAAAAGAATCAGGGTGTGCCTTCACAACCTCCAGTAACAATACTGGAGAAAGCCCACCCATAAGGTACAGGCCCAATGTGTCTTCCCAATACAGAAGTTGACCTAGTTACGAGAACTAGGAACCCCCAAGAAAATTCTGATAAGCCCTACCTTGAACCCTGTACCTCAAATACAGCCTAGCACTAGTGGCAGGGTAAGAATACAGAGAAGACTCCTCCTTTCTCTTCTCTGTGCCAAGGCACAGGAGGAAGAAGGCAGGGGCTCCTCACAGTCCTGTCTGAAGCAGACACACTGAGAAGAGCCTCTAGSCCCCCTCAGAGCAGCACCCACCGCTCAACTCCCAACTAACAACCTGATGGAATAAAAAGTAGGAAAACCATCCATCTCGGCCTCCACTGTCCTGAACATGTGAGGCTAGTATTCCATACAAAGTTTTTAAAAGATAAATGACTCCTTGTCAAGAGRGAAAACAGTTAACAGAACCAGACCAAAGGATGACCCACTGGATATTACAACCTTCAGACATTAAAAGAASCAAGATGAACATTATAAAAGATTAGTTAAAAGGGTGGGCAACATATTGAACAGAATTGAGCAAAACATTGGCAACTATACAGAAATTCAAGAAAAAATATAATACTGGAGGATAAATAGTCAGTGAATCTGAAGGTAAACAGAAGAGGGAAAGGGGGAGAGCAGAACAGCTGAAGCTTAAGGACAATATCAAACCATCTGAAGTATGGATAACTGGGATCCAAGAGGGGCAGAAGGAGAGGAGGGAAAACAAGGGGGGCTGCAGGTGTAGCTCAGTGGTAGAGTGCTTACCCAGCACCACAAAAGGGAGACARTATTTGAAAAATGATATACAGACAAATGGAAGAGAATAGAAAACAGGAACTGAACAGCCACTTCACAGAAGAAATACAAATGGGTCAATATATGAAAAATGTTCAAAATCTCAAGCAATTACAGAAATGCAAATTAAAACTACACTGAGATTCCATCTCGCTCCAGTCAGAATGGCAATTATCAAGAATACAAGTAACAATAAATGTTGRCGAGGATGTGGGGAGAAGTACACTCATAGTATTTCTGGTGGGATTGCAAATTGTTGCAACCACTCTGGAAAGCAGTATAGAGATTCCTCAGAAAACTTGAAATGGAACCACAATTTGACCCAGTTACCCCATCCCTTGGTATATACCCAGAGGACTTRTGAAATCAGTATACTACAGTGACACAGCCACATCAATGTTTATAGCAGCTCAATTCACAATAGCTAAGCTATGGAACCAACCTAGGTGTCCTTCAACAGACAAATGGATAATAAAATGTGGAATATATTCGCACACACACATACATACACGCACGCACATATACTCACATACACATACATATACACACACATATGTGGTATGTATATATGTATAGACATACATGCACACACTGGAAAATTAGCCATAAAAAARAGAATGACTGCTTTATGACTTTTGCCAGTAAATGGATGGATCTGGAGACTATCATGCTAAGTGATATTTTCCAATCCCAAAAAACCAAAGGCAGAATGTTCTGATATGCGGATGCTAACACACAATGAAGGAGGGAGAGGGAAGAATAGAGGTTCATTGGATTAGACAAAGGGAAGTGGGGATGGGAATAGGAAAGACAGTAGAATGAATTGGACATAACTTTCATGTTCATAGGTGAATACATGACCTTTGAAACGCCACATTAGGATCCCATTCTTGTGGTTATACATAATCAGAATAAGTTATACTCCATGTATGTATAACATGTCAAAATACACTCTGTCATGTACATCTAACCAGAACAAATAAAATATTTGAAGAAACTGATGAGACTTTTTCAAAATGAGTGCAAGACAAACATCATAGATTCCAGAATCTTTATGTTAATCCTGCTTGGGATGCTTAAAGAAAAAATGCCTCCAAGGACATCAGAGTTGAACTGCTAAAACTCCAAGATAAAGAGAGAACCCATCAAAGTAGCCAGATGAAAACAGAGGACTTTATGTAAGAATGACAGCAAGCTTCTTGTTAGAAAACATGCAATCCAGAAGGCAATGGAACACTAGCCAAGCGCTAAAAGGAAAAACAACTTCCCCCACCAAAACTCTAGCTTACTAAATTGAAAAATACACCTAAAAGATTCTGTGTACCCCCAGTGAATACATCTTTTAACATAAAGGAGATAATCTAGATCAAATGGCCAATTTCTTGAAAGGCAAACAAATATGCTTTGAATAAGACAATGTCTATTAAAGAAATGGAATCAATAGTTAACATTTCAACACAGAAAGTATCACACCCACAGGGGCTCTCAGGCGACTTCTACCAAACACTTAAGGGTAAAAGTAGACCAATTCTCCATCATTCTTCGTAAGATAGTCATTCTGCTTTCATTTCCTAATTCATTCTACGAAGCCAGCATCACCCTACTACCAAAACCAGACAAAAATATAACTATAGACCAGTATCTCTCAYGAACATAAATTAAAAAAACCTCAACAAAATATACATAAAAAGAACTAAACATCATAGTCAAGTGGGGATTTGTCCTATGTACATAAGGCTGGCTCACTATTTGAAAAGCAATTAAATTAACCCATGACACCAAGAGGCTAAAGAAGAAAATTCACATCATAACCATAGATGCAGAAAAAGCATCTGACAAAATCAAAAAACACTTGTTCATGAGAACAAAACCAATCCAAAAAAAGCTCAGTGAAGTAGGAATGGGCAGGGAGCTTCAACATGATAAAGAATATCCACAAAAACCCCATAAATAAAATGAATATCATACTTTATTGCTGTTATGGTTTGGATGTGAGGTATCCCCCTTAAGGTCACATGTGAGACAATGCAACAAGATTCAGAGGAGAAATGATTGCGTTGTAAGGGTCTTAACCCAATCAATCAGTGAATTGATCCCTGATGGGATTAACTGAAGTGGTAGGATGTGGCTGGAGGAGGTGGGAACTGGGGTGTGGCTATGGGGTACACTACAAAAATACAGTCAGTTTGCCTTGGACAGCCAAGGCCCCACACATCAATCTAGATGTGGATCTTCTTCTTCCTTTACAGCAATTGATTCAAAATGGATCACAGGTCTAAATGTACAACATAAAATACAAAACATAAAACCCCTAGAAGATAACAGAAGAAAATCTAGATTTCCTTGGGTTTCACAAGGGCTTTTCAGATAGGACACCAAAGGCAAAATCCATTACAGAAAAACTGATAAACTCAACTTCATTAAAACAAAAATATTTTACTCGGCAGATATACTGTCAAGAATTGAGAAGACAAGTCAATGACTGAACTAAAATATTTGCAGAATTCCTATGTGATAGAGAACTATTATCCAAAATATCCAAATATATTTTTTTCTCAGGAGATACTGGGAACTGAATGCAGGGGTGTTTTACCACTGAGCCACATTCCCCAGCCTTTTAATAAAAACCCTATTAAAAGCAGGCCAAAGACCTTGATAGATACCCCACCAAAGATGATATACAGGTGGCAAACAAGCATAAGAAAAGATGTTTTAACATCATAGGTCATCAGGGAAATGAAAATTAAAACAAGAATAAAATACCACTAACACTGGGCGTGGTGACACATGCCTGTAATCCCAGAGACTCAGGGGGCCAAGATGGGAGCATCGCAAGTTCAAGGCCATCCTCAGAAATTTAGGGAGACCCTATCTCAAAAAATAAAAAGGGCTGAAGATGTGGCTCAGTGGTTAAGCACTCGTGGGTTCAGTCCCGAGTGGAAAAAAAAAAAAAAAGAAGAAAAAGAAAAGTAGTACCACTACATACCTATTAGAATGGTCAAAATCTAGAACCCCAATGCCATCAACTTCTGGCAAATACATGCAGCAACAGAAATTCTCACTCATTGCTGGAGAAAATACAAAATGTAATACCCACTTTGGAAGATAGCTTGGCGATTCCTTATAAAACTAAATATATTTTTTTAAATAACCCAGCAATTGCGTTCCTTGGTATTTACACACAGGAGCTGAACACACATTCACACACAAACCTACACATGGACGTTTACAGCAGCTTTATTAATAATTGTCCAAACTTGGAAGCAACCAGGGTGTCCTTCAGCAGGTGAATGGATAAACACACTGGTGCATCCAGACAATGGCAAATTACTCACTGCTAAAAAGAAATGACCCCTGAAATCATGAGAGGGCACAARGAAAACTTAAATGCAGGTTACCTAAGTGCAATCAGCAAATTATGCTGTATGATTCTGACAATACGA